CTGCTGATGTTCAGGTGTATATCAGTATGTAGTGTCTCTACTTTAAAGAGTCCTCTCCTGCTGATGTTCAGGTGTATATCAGTATGTAGTGTCTCTACTTTAAAGAGTCCTCTCCTGCTGATGTTCAGGTGTATATCAGTATGTAGTGTCTCTACTTTAAAGAGTCCTCTCCTGCTGATGTTCAGGTGTATATCAGTATGTAGTGTCTCTACTTTAAAGAGTCCTCTCCTGCTGATGTTCAGGTGTATATCAGTATGTAGTGTCTCTACTTTAAAGAGTCCTCTCCTGCTGATGTTCAGGTGTATATCAGTATGTAGTGTCTCTACTTTAAAGAGTCCTCTCCTGCTGATGTTCAGGTGTATATCAGTATGTAGTGTCTCTACTTTAAAGAGTCCTCTCCTGCTGATGTTCAGGTGTATATCAGTATGTAGTGTCTCTACTTTAAAGAGTCCTCTCCTGCTATATCAGGTGTATATCAGTATGTAGTGTCTCTACTTTAAAGAGTCCTCTCCTGCTGATGTTCAGGTGTATATCAGTATGTAGTGTCTCTACTTTAAAGAGTCCTCTCCTGCTGATGTTCAGGTGTATATCAAGTATGTAGTGTCTCTACTTTAAAGAGTCCTCTCCTGCTGATGTTCAGGTGTATATCAGTATGTAGTGTCTCTACTTTAAAGAGTCCTCTCCTGCTGATGTTCAGGTGTATATCAGTATGTAGTGTCTCTACTTTAAAGAGTCCTCTCCTGCTGATGTTCAGGTGTATATCAGTATGTAGTGTCTCTACTTTAAAGAGTCCTCTCCTGCTGATGTTCAGGTGTATATCAGTATGTAGTGTCTCTACTTTAAAGAGTCCTCTCCTGCTGATGTTCAGGTGTATATCAGTATGTAGTGTCTCTACTTTAAAGAGTCCTCTCCTGCTGATGTTCAGGTGTATATCAGTATGTAGTGTCTCTACTTAAAGAGTCCTCTCCTGCTGATGTTCAGGTGTATATCAGTATGTAGTGTCTCTACTTTAAAGAGTCCTCTCCTGCTGATGTTCAGGTGTATATCAGTATGTAGTGTCTCTACTTTAAAGAGTCCTCTCCTGCTGATGTCAGGTGTATATCAGTATGTAGTTGTCTCTACTTTAAAGAGTTCCTCTCCTGCTGATGTTCAGGTGTATATCAGTATGTAGTGTCTCTACTTTAAAGAGTCCTCTCCTGCTGATGTTCAGGTGTATATCAGTATGTAGTGTCTCTACTTTAAAGAGTCCTCTCCTGCTGATGTTCAGGTGTATATCAGTATGTAGTGTCTCTACTTTAAAGTAGAGACACTACATACTCAGTATGTAGTGTCTCTACTTTAAAGAGTCCTCTCCTGCTGATGTTCAGGTGTATATCAGTATGTAGTGTCTCTACTTTAAAGAGTCCTCTCCTGCTGATGTTCAGGTGTATATCAGTATGTAGTGTCTCTACTTTAAAGAGTCCTCTCCTGCTGATGTTCAGGGTGTATATCAGTATGTAGTGTCCTCTACTTTAAAGAGTCCTCTCCTGCTGATGTTCAGGTGTATATCAGTATGTAGTGTCCTCTACTTTAAAGAGTCCTCTCCTGCTGATGTTCAGGTGTATATCAGTATGTAGTGTCTCTACTTTAAAGAGTCCTCTCCTGCTGATGTTCAGGTGTATATCAGTATGTAGTGTCTCTACTTTAAAGAGTCCTCTCCTGCTGATGTTCAGGTGTATATCAGTATGTAGTGTCTCTACTTTAAAGAGTCCTCTCCTGCTGATGTTCAGGTGTATATCAGTATGTAGTGTCTCTACTTTAAAGAGTCCTCTCCTGCTGATGTTCAGGTGTATATCAGTATGTAGTGTCTCTACTTTAAAGAGTCCTCTCCTGCTGATGTTCAGGTGTATATCAGTATGTAGTGTCTCTACTTTAAAGAGTCCTCTCCTGCTGATGTTCAGGTGTATATCAGTATGTAGTGTCTCTACTTTAAAGAGTCCTCTCCTGCTGATGTTCAGGTGTATATCAGTATGTAGTGTCTCTACTTTAAAGAGTCCTCTCCTGCTGATGTTCAGGTGTATATCAGTATGTAGTGTCTCTACTTTAAAGAGTCCTCTCCTGCTGATGTTCAGGTGTATATCAGTATGTAGTGTCTCTACTTTAAAGAGTCCTCTCCTGCTGATGTTCAGGTGTATATCAGTATGTAGTGTCTCTACTTTAAAGAGTCCTCTCCTGCTGATGTTCAGGTGTATATCAGTATGTAGTGTCTCTACTTTAAAGAGTCCTCTCCTGCTGATGTTCAGGTGTATATCAGTATGTAGTGTCTCTACTTTAAAGAGTCCTCTCCTGCTGATGTTCAGGTGTATATCAGTATGTAGTGTCTCTACTTTAAAGAGTCCTCTCCTGCTGATGTTCAGGTGTATATCAGTATGTAGTGTCTCTACTTTAAAGAGTCCTCTCCTGCTGATGTTCAGGTGTATATCAGTATGTAGTGTCTCTACTTTAAAGAGTCCTCTCCTGCTGATGTTCAGGTGTATATCAGTATGTAGTGTCTCTACTTTAAAGAGTCCTCTCCTGCTGATGTTCAGGTGTATATCAGTATGTAGTGTC